CAGAATGGTCTTTAAAAGTATGTATACAGTGTGTAATAAACAGACTGAGGATATAAACATATTGACCACCTTCAACATTTAACATTATGTTATGAACATTAAAAACTCATTCCAGTGGTTATTCTGCAAGTATGTACGGAATTGTTTATGACATTCTTTACTGTGAGATACAGTTCTAAAGTAAAACATATTGAATAAAAATTAGGCAACTCTCTCATAAATTAACAAAGATAATTTTAACATAGTCAATGAAAGAAGAATTTGTAATTTCCATATAGATACTGTGGGAGTTAAGAGTTTATCATCTGAAAATAAACGGTGGGTATCAATCATTGGTCCAGTTAGAGATAGGTAAAAATGCATGTAACAACAGCTCATTAAGAAGAGACAGAAAAATAATACTTTTACTCACACTTTGAGTTCTTTTTTTTTCTTTTTTTTTGGAGAGGTTTTTGCTACAGGGTGCATGCGCTCGCCAGACAGAGAGAGACAGAGAGACAGAAAGCGAGAAATCACCCCCAGGAAGGATGGTCATGCCGCAATCCCTTCTCCTCCATTCTCCTCTCAGGATCTTGGGCACGCACGCACACACGCCCAGTGTGAGTTTAAGCCACTGGGTCCGGGACACGAACTGCAGTCGACTACGTGGGAGTCCAGCGACATAGCCATTACGCTAACTGCTGGTCCCACACTTTGAGTTCTTGTAAGACAATTTACTGCACTCTGCATAAAGAAATAAGTCCTTGAAAAGCAAATATAAAACAAAATTGGAAAGGGGATGTTTAAAAGTGAAAACATGGTAAACCAGTGATTTGGTGTGATTTATAAGTTTTACAAAGTTCTTTTTTTTCCTGATGCAAGGCAATAGATATTATTGAACTTATGTAAATAACCATTCTGTCACAAAATAAGAATACTCCCAAATAGTTTCCAATTCCAGAGCAGTCAAGAAGGGAGAAAAGTTTATGTTTCAATTTCCAAAAAAAATTAACAGTGGTAAAATATTGATACTAGTAGACAGTTATGATTCACATATGTATATTGCAATACCCTGAGCAATGCGATGAAAACTATACAAAGAAATATATCTTAAAACACTTTGCATAAATCAAGATGGAGTCATTTTTTTAAAAGTTCAAGTAACTGACAGGAAAGCAAGAAAAGAGAAACAGAGGAATAAGAACCAAAGGGGGCAGGGAACAGAAGACAATAAAATGGCAGATTTAAGAGCTAATTAATGTATCAGTTATTACATTAAATGTAATTACATTAGATGTAAAGCCAGCTATGAGCTGCTTATAAAAAATTCACATTAAGGACCAGCAGCTGGTGTAATGGCTATGTCGCTGGATTCCCATATAGTCGACCACGGTTCGAGTCCCGGACCGGGTGGCTTAAAACTCACACCGGGCGTGTGTGCGTGCGTGCCCAAGATCCCGAGAGGAGAATGGAGGAGAAGGGATTGCGGCATGGCCATACCCCCTGGGGAGTGATTTCTCACTTTCTGTCTCTCTGTCTCTCTCTGTCTTTCTGGCGAGCACACATGC